AAGGTAGACTTTTCCGGGATTAGCCTCTGGCGTATGCAAAAGAATAGCACCGTAACTGCGTGGCCCACTGCTCTTCTTTTTTTGGTTCGAATACGTTTGGTGATTTTCTTTTATCGGCGTGCAAATCGGAGGAATCGTTCCATTCGTTGACGAGGGGTGAACATTAAATATGCCATGAAGCCATATTGAGCTCGAGTTTTCGCAAAAACGTATCAAAAAAAAAAAAAAAAATTGGGTTGTGTGTGTGTTTATACAGCCTAGAACTTGGTCTGCCTCACAGGGGCGACGAGTCTTATTCCTACGGTCTGTATAACTCGAGAGCGCGCGATAGGAGAGCGTGCAACCAGTTGAGATTGCGTCACGGGAGCGCATGTCCGCGCCTTGGAAAGTTTCGAGGACTGTATACTCGCGACTATACAGCTACCGGATGGGCCCCTATTCAATACAGAAGGTAGCATTCAAGAGGTCGCGTTCTGCCTGCTCAATGCTATCGTTGGGACAATTTTGTACGTGTTTTTTTTTAGAAACTTCTATGAAAAATTTTATGAATATAATGATATCTTTCATATTCAAAATAAAATCTCGTCTTATGTTTCTACGAGCCAAAATTTGTTCTAGGGTGTTTGCTGCTGATTTCAAAGCCGTCAACGACTTAAAAATGCATCGAAAGTGTAACTCAAGGTAGGGCGTCACAGGATTTTGATCCCTATTGCAAACAAATAGACCAGTTTGGCTATTAATAGCCCAATCGACTAAGCCTGTCACCACACGGGCAAAGGGAAACATGGCACCGCCATGTTTCCCCATTTCCCTAACAAACAAGTCACGAGATTTAAAGATCCCTCTCCTAGGTACTGCGGCTAACTTTAGCCGCGGTTAGCGCTTCGAGCAAACGGGCCCTGGCTTGTAACGCAGTTTCGTGGATGCCACCCCAGCATCAAGTGCACTAGCCGAGAGAGACCTCTCATTAGCAGGCCTAGTAATGCAAGAGAGGCGACCCAGATATGAATCAGTCCATCACTGACGATATTGCTTCTACGCAGCTCCCTCGACGGGAAAAACGTAATTTGTGTGCATGTTTTCTTTTTTTCTTTTTTTTTTCTCGACAGTTGGCAAGTTGTATAATGGTCCGGAGCGCGTAGTTTCGGATTAACGTTTAGAACTTACATCGAAAGTTGTTGTCATTATTGAATATTTCGACATTTTGCAAATGGTGTATACTCGCGTCATACCACGCACAATATGCGAGCACTTCGCTACCGTGAGTGACCTATTTTCCCCTTCCACTTTTTTATTGTTTGATTTAAATTAAATGACATAATGTAATCAGTCTGTTTCTGTTAACTCTTATGCTTAGGAAATACGCCTTTATTTTAAATAAACGCTGCGAGGCAAAAAAAAAAATACACAGAGAAATAACATTGTATTTTTTGTGAACGCATCTTGATGGTAGAGTGTCGAGGACTCGCAACACAAACTCATAATTGCGATAATTTTCCCGGCAACGCGAAGTGTCTCTGGAAGAATGACCGCTTATGATATAAATACGATAAAACACAATACAATAAAAGTGCTTTCAATATATTGTGACCAAAGAGTTCTTTGTATTTTTTGTTTTGTACAAAGATAACTCAGATAACCATTCAGATGCTTTTTTTTTTAATTTACGCTTGATCATGACGCAAAATGAATCCGCGGATTGCGAGTCGGATGCGGTTCCGAAATTTGTGGATGCGGTTCGGATTGCTGATAGAAAGTCCGCGGGTGCGGATTTTATGCGAATGCTGAAACTGTTATCCGCGCGGGGCCCTATAGTCATAACTCATTCTACGGGCTCTAAGCATTCTAAAAAAGCAAGCATTACATTCATGCGTGGGCGATCTTTCTACTTCAATCGATATCAAAGACCGTTTACTTCGGCGCCCTCTGGTGTCGGCGATAGTACCAAGGTAATCGAACTTTGATACCAATTGTGGTAGAAAAATCGGCCACGCATGAATGTAATGCGTGTTTTTTTAGGATGCGTATAGTCCATAACTTGAGTTATGACCATAAATAAACTGTGGCAGCAAGTGGTTCAGCGCCCTTTTGAGACTATACACCCTCTCCGCAAGAACGCAGATATCTTGAATGGCGTCACTTCTTGGATGCGTTATAACACCGTTTTGATCTCCCCACGCCGCTGAAAGGAGTTCACCAAAAATTCGGTACTGCCACGCGTTCTATATTTTCTCGCATATTCCAGGTTGACATGTTTTATTATTTTTTCGTCCCGCATACCATGTGACTTAGAACAAAAGGAAACAAAGACCGTCTATAGTGGTGGGCGTTCTGCTGATAAACATATATTCCTCAAGCTTAAGCTTGTACTGGGTGAAGAAGAGACCTGAAGCCCTGACTGAAGAACGAAGATGACCATGAATTTGTTTGTCTGTTAATGAGCGCCTATCCCACTCTCTCCCGCTCTTACCGCAACGCCGGCTGTCACTCCGAGGCTTCTGCAGTTGATCCCTTCTTCGAAGTGTACGAATGTTCAAACGAATTAAATAGCAAAGCGATCATTTCACTTCTATTCGCGAGTGCGGGTCGGTTGTTTTAGAACTCTTTCGGCTACACGTATGGTGATGTACGTTAAGGAGTTGAGGCGATTGCAGATTAAGTGGCGAGAGACCCTACAATGTAACAGTATATAGACCTAGTGCCCTAAGAGAAACCGGTTTGCCGTTGTACGCAACACACGTTTGGGTAATTTGATTAGACCGGGACGAAGGGGGAGGGGAAGTAGCACGTTTGACAAGATGGAAGTTGACGTCTTAGAAGGTGCAGAAAACACATTGCAGTAAGAACCGGCTAAGTGGTGATGCCTGATTGTGGTCATTCAATTGACGGCGACATTTTTTCTTCACGAGCGCATCTCTTACTTGTATTCGGATATCTAATGGCGCTTCCAGTCTCCAATGCCCGTTTCGATCTGGATGAGGATTGCACCGCCGTGCGGTCGTGTACACCATTGCGTGATGCACGTGAAGAACCCAGTGGCACAGCACTGGCTAAATGTCTCATCTACAACGGAGACAGCAGACACCTGTTAGGCCTAAGTCGGGGTCACACTGCTCACACAAAAGACAGTCTGTATAGTCACCGCAATATTCGTGGTTTGAATGCCACATGCCAAGTTTTCTCCTTTAAGTCATTACCACGCGGCATTCGAAGCACGGATCTGGTGGTGACTCGCGTTCAATTGTGCTTGCAAACTACCTTTTGTATGATGTATAGACGCTTTACACACGCGCCAGATTTAGCCGCCATTGCCGACCTTCTTTTGCCTTACCGAGATGCCGAGACACTGAAGCGGGTGTTGACGGTCCTCCACAAAGGCCTATGCTTGAGAGAAGGACACAGCAGCACTTAAAAAGGCAACAACCTGTCTTGCTGTGGCAATGGTGAAGTGAAGCGAACGGAATAAGAGAAAACAAAAATTGAAGGTCGGTTATGGCGGCGCCCATGCACAGCTGCCTGAATGCGTCTTTAAGTAGTGTGACCCTGGCTTTAGGCTTACACTTTCACTGTTCATTCATAACCTCCGAGATTCCCTCCGAGATTCTTCATCTGGGAGGAGATGCACTGTTTAAACATCATACACAACATAATTTCTTTACGCCACCAGTCGAAAGGACAGGCTATGGTATGGCGGGTGGCGTCCTCAAACGCCCGAAGCAGACCTACGTATATACTGGTTAAGGCTGTCAATGCTGTTGTCCAAATTCCGCCATTGCCCACCCTTACAAAAATATTTACCCAATTTTTACATAATTTCTATAGAAAATTGTGTATGGAGGTTATAGATATTCTAAGGAAATTGTATCCACGTTTACATGCAGCGTTTATAGCTTTTTAGCCGCTTTTTTTCTGTCGACTTTCTATAGACCTTAGTGTTTAAAGATTGAATATAAATTACAACGTTTCTATTCCATTTCTAACAACAATAAATCAGTTTATGGCAAAAAAATATTCTGAATACTAATTTTAGGATTGCCACGACACATTTATGAAAAGATTGCACTCGCCACTTGCCGCGTGCACGTACGCAGATATCACAAACACACACGCCGCGGAGCACTCAGAACACTAGTAATTCAGTAGTGTTGAATGCTCCACCACTATATATGTACCCTACCCTTGAAAGGCAATCACTTGAACGAAAAACATCCCAGAAGATAAAAGTACAATATACTGCCCTTTTAAGTTGGGTGATTTAATTTTTTCCATACTTGAAATAAACTACATTTTTTTTAAAGGGGCCTTTTTGAAATTAACCTTTTACTGAATACATCGTTTTCCCTGGTGTTGTATTCGTCTAGGAAGTTATGACAAACAAATTTTATATTTAGAGCTACGCCATTCTTTCTAAGTACTTGATTATTAGTACACAGAAAGTCTACTGCTAATTTGGGCATGCTTTTTTTACCTGGGTTAAATTTAAGTCTAGGATATAAATCTTTAAAAGACAAATATAACTTGAAAAAAGAAATATTTGAAGATGATCATATACGCTCCTAGTATTTGTATCTTGTATTTATATACTTTTCTCCAAAGTGTAATTATATTTGTAATAAATACATTTTTGCCAAGGTATTTTACATTTGTACGCCCATCCCTTGAGTACGCTTTACTAAAGAAGTACTAAATTCCGTTACTCGTTGCTTGTCCAAGTACGCCAACCACGGGTTACGAAATCTCGATAGAAAAGGCAGTCTGCAGGGACTGTCTGATTCGTGTTTCTTCCTTGTATCATGGTCATGTCAGATTGGGCATACAAATACCGACTGAAGACATGATCGAAGCATTCTCATGTACCAAGCCAGGATGCTTCCAACAGGATTTGACGTGTGTCCGCACATATTTGTGTCACCGCGTCTCCAGTGAACATCTTGTCTTTTGTATATGATGCGCGAGCACTCGCGACGTCTATCCCCGGCGCACGCCATGGATGGACTCACCTCCACAGCTTGCCGAGCGTCTTGCTGAGCTCCGCGTTGTGCAGGTGAGGATACTGATCGGCCAACTTGCGGCGCGCCGCCTGCGCCCAGACCATGAAGGCATTCATTGGTCTCTTGACGTGCAGACGTTTCTTCTCGGAGCCACCCTGGCGCGTGGTCTTGGCAACCAGCGACCAGTCGTAACTCTGGAGCACCTTGCTCACGGCTGCCTGGATGCCCGGATTGTTCTCCAGAGGGTCCGTGCCGGAGTCCGAACCGTCCCCGGAGCAACTGTCGTCGTCGAAGACCGGGCCTGGTTCCACCGCGGACTGCTGTCGGTTGCGGCGACTCCCGCTCGGTTCCATGGTGACCAGTTCGATCACCTTCTTCGGGAAGAAGCTGTCGTCGGGGAATCCTCCCCGTCGCGGTGTCGACGGCATGCTGGCCAACTAACCCTAACTTTCGTTCGCCTATCCTTGTAAGAACATTACAGTGCGGGCAACGTTGCAGTGGACACGTTATCGAGGCTCGCTTAGTCCGCGGCGAGCGGACTAGACGGCCACCATTTTCTGGTGCGTCGCTGCCAGAAGCGATCACGACGGGATGACGTGTCACTCGTGTTTCTCCGGTCCCGGTGGTAGGCGTAATCCAGGAGGGCGCGTTGCGGAGGTCCTATTCAATAGCACTCGCGCGCCACAGATGAAGGAACCACCACAAGCGATGACTTGTCGCTAATCCGGGTACACGTGTCGGAGCCCCCACTTTGCACACACTAACATCCCGTAATCCAGCCGTTCACACTCGTTTCTTCCGGTAATTCACCAAACGTCCAGGTGATGCCACCACTTGTCTCTTCCAGCCACTCACCAAATTTCCAGTGAACGTCACCACTTGTATGCACCAGCTGTCCACGAAACGTCCAGTGGACGTCACCAAGTGGATTTCACAATTTGTCGCTACCGGCCGTTCACTAAACGTCCAGGGGACGTCACCGCTTGCCTTTTCCAAGAGGAACGCACAGTCCAGGGGACGTCACTCACCATTCGTCTCTGCCAAGACATTCACTGAATGTCCAGTGGACGTCACCACTTGTGTCTTCTAGCCGTCCACCAAATGCCAAGGGGACGCCGCCACTTGTCTCTTCCAGGAGAAAGGCGCAGTTCAGGGGATGTCACACACTACAAGTCTCTTCCAGCATTTCATCAAATGTCCAGCGAACGTCACCACTTCTCCGTTCGAGGAAGAGGACGCTTCCAGAAGGCGGCGCCGTCCAGGACAGGCCCCTGACGGTTTTCTCCGAAGACGGGCGCCAAGCCTCGTGGGAGCACTCAGCAGCGCGGCGAGTCCTTGAGGAACCTGAACGTCGGTCGCGTGCCGGCGGCGGCTTGCCGCTGCTGTCTGGTCGGATTAGCTGGCCGATCGGGAAGCGCGGCAAACGAGAGAGTGCGGGGCTCTGTCTCGTCCTCCCTCCACCGCCGGTTATTCTCGTCGTGGAGGCGGGACCCGCTCGAGGAGGGCCGCTCCATTCGCTCCGTGTGGGAGGGAGGCAGGGGAGGAGTCTTGGCATCTGGTGTCGCACCACTTGGACACACGAGACATGCGCGTGAACAGACTCCTCCTGCCAGACATCCACCCTTTTTTTTTGGATGGTGGGAAGAAACGTTTCAGCAGCTGACAACCTTTTTTTTATTAGTTGATGTTTTGTTTTTTTATTGCAGTAAACCTCAGCATCACTTCGAAGAAAAGCAGGAGTGATGTGCGTAAAGTCATTTGTTTTTAGAACGGCTAAAGCGTATTTATTCTCGAGATAAGATTAGCTGCAATGCTCGGTCTGACCTTTCGCTAGGCCTGCAGTCTCGTCAAGCTTGATTATTTCTCGCTTCGCCCCCCAGGATAGGAAAACTGGGACCCAAACTTCTCGTCCTAACTTAAGCCGAACCCAAAACTTCTTAAAAAAAAAAAAAAAAAGAGAGGGCACATCATGGAAGCTTGGCTGACTGTCCACACTCGCATTTTTTCGCGATAGTACTTTCTTTTTGGTCAACACACAGCTGGACAGGACTTATGTTTTACATCGTGCTGTGAACTTTCCATACCGGTGACCTCTTGGTGCGTTCTAGCCTCATATGATGATTCGCCCTTAACCCCCAAACAATTAATGATTCCAGGCCGGCGCCTGGTTGAGAGATGAAGGTAGACCGGCCCTTCTCTGCAGCCATTATTTTTACGGGGAACAGGAGTGGAGGGAGTAATAAGTATTCATCTTCATTTTACGCTTTGATCTGAACCAACAGGTCGTGATACACCCTTCCACCTTTCCGTATTTTGTATTATCTCTCTGTCACTCACTTATCTTCATATTGCTCATATGAAACCACGAGAGCCAAATTGGAAGGCTTAATGTAAGAAATGGCTCGTTCAATTGAGTAGCCTGCTGCAGGTTATATGAATCTGTTGTAAAACAAATTTTTCTAGCTGTACTTCCGAACTGACATCAGGGACGTTCATTTGTGTGCAACGGTATGACGCCTCTAAATGCCGTGTAAGTCAACATACGTATAGCACCTAAAAAAATCTTAACATAAAAAAAAAAAAAATCTCGAAGAGTGACTTATCGCTCGGGCATAACTCACATTTGATTTAAATAACGGGTGGGGAGACTTTTTCCTGAAGCAATAGGTAAGATGTGTGCCCCTTTTTCACGATGCAGACTGCATGTGCGGCTATGTTGTACCCGTTACGCAAAACAAGTAACGAAGTAGCGTTGAGCGCCATTCACACACTTGCAACCCAATAGGACCGAAAGAGACAAGATCGGGTTTAAGCCTCTTGCAATGACGTAGGACTTGCTTCGCAGCAGCGCGCATCCAGTCCTACGTCGTCGCAAGAGGTTCAAAAACTAGTCTCCTCTTTCTCGGTTCTTGCCAGTCGCAAATGTGTGAACGGGGCTTTACTCGTCTGTGAAGGACTAAAGCGTTGCCTAATTTTGTTATCTTCCGGCAAACGTAAAGAAATAGCCCTGCATTTTTTCCTTTCAGAACTAAGGAACGTTCTTCTTGCACTAATCTCTATTTTGGTAAAGTAATACATTTTATTCGAAAGAAGCATATTAAGAGCACGGGCACACCAGAGCCAAAGATAGGCTTGTGCGGCGTCGCCCGGCATGCATCGCCCGGCGGCAGTGTTCACAGGGACGTAAACTTCATTCGAACAAATGAAGTGACGCAGATTAGAGTTCTTCGAGAGTAAGAATGGCAGCTCGTTATTGGCTTCGCGGATTCAGCCAAACGTAACATTAGGCAGTTGATTAAAATTATGAGAATGTAATTAAATCTTGATGATTTACCGTAATGCGTGCGCACTCCTTGCACGACATAACGAGGAATGTGCAGGCACATTGTTACCGTTTTTATTTTATAGTCGTCCTGCAAAGAGCATTTCACTAAAAAAAGTTTATCAACTGTATTAATGAACAAGTCTTCAGCAAGAAAGTCGTAAACGTAGCAAAATGTTTGAACAGCACTTGAAGAAGGGAAGTCTCTTCCCGAAACGGCGTGTATTAAAGCCTCTACTGCTGTTCAAACATTTTTCTACGTTTAAAAAAAGTTTGCTCGAATAAAATGGTAAAAGAAGGTAAACCGGCAAATCTTCATAAACTATTTGACTTTCTCCAGCTCAGCCCGTAAGGGACACCTCGACATATGTGTTAAGAATACTATTAAAGTAGTGTTTTTTCATGTAGTAGAAGTACAGTTTACAACACGTTCCATATCTATAAAACATTGTAACCCAAGGCATGAGCACGTAACTTAAAAAAATAAAATATATACGTTTGGAGCTTTACAAAATGCGTTAAACATTTCGAAGTTTTTTTTTTCTTTTTTTTTTTACAAACATACGTTACTTGCGAGTGTCATGATAAATTGCTATCAATGTACATTCCAAGAATGGGCGTTGTACGCGTAGCAGTATTATTTACCCGAGAAAACACGCCGGTGCCATTTCCATCTGATTGTTTTAAACAGCAGAGACTCGGCAGTCCATCTTGTTCGCCCTGGCGTATCCATACTCGCTAGTGGCGACGTGCGCGGCCAAAAGGCGTAACTGCGGTCGGCATTTCACGGTTGTTCAAACGCTCGTCATGGCGTATTTCGTGAGGTTAATAGTGCTCTCATCGGGGGAATCAAGAGTATACAGTCAGACCCAATACGGACGGTATTAGATTAAGAACGCAATGGCTCTATGGACTTCCACTGTGAAGTTTCTTTACAGAACGAACTTTAAACAACATCCGTTTGGATGATGTTTTTCCTCCCTCTGAACGACATGGGAACATGTTTTTCCCACTTCTGCACACAAACTCCATCTGAATAATACGTTGTTTTTCTTACTTCTGAACAAAGGCAAACAACACTGCTTGTCCTTTAATCCGTGTCCTGTCGTCACGGGAAGGAACATTAAAATTGCGCCACCTAAATATATCGTCGCTATTGCGCCTAGACTTAGGAGTATCTCCGACTGCTGTTCATGGGCTCCGTTCGCAACACGAAGTGTGTGGAGGCGAACGCGTCGGCCATCTGCTATGCGGGCGCAATTTCGTCTGCTTCTTTTGCGGCGGTTGTCGTGACGTCATAACGACGCCGTGCTCTGATTGGTTCCCATGGAAGGATAGCGGGTAGACCTCAAAGCAAGCTGCCTTGAGGTCTACCTACTGTCCTTCAATCAGAGCCAATTAGAGCTCGGCGTTCTGACGTCACCGAAGAAGCAGACGAACTTACGTTCCGCATACAGCAGTCAGCCGATGTAAGCATTGTTGAGGTCGGGAGGTTACTTCGCAGCTGTTATTCGAAAGAAAAAAAAAAGTTTAAACCACGTGTAAGCGGTCGTGGTTGCCCTCAAACACGCGAGCGAAATTCTACGAAAGAAGCAGGACCGCAAAAATGCAGCACAGTTCGCATGCACATAAAATCTGATCGGCGGGACGACTCGACATCACGTCACGTGGCGTCACGTGAGATCGGGACGTGGCACTGCGACGTCATGTGCTGCGGCAAGGCCTGACGTACGTTATATGGGCACGTGACTACTTAACCACGTGACCCGCAGTGCTCTTAGCGATACCCACTGCGGGACCACGTGACCTATAGAATGGCATATCGCGCTACATTTAGCGGAGCTTCAGCCCGCGAAAATTTCGATGATGACTTCACGTTACGGCGGCGGCGACGAATCACAAATCCCCCCAAAAATAGATTGCGACTGAAAAATACAACGGGTCCCTGCATTTTTTTTTTTTTTTTTGCCACAAAATAACTACGGTGTACTGAACGCTGATTCTCCGGCAAAAGGCACTAGCGGTCCGAGCTGCATGCCAAAGGTTCACAAGTAACCGTTATTTTGTTGAATTGTTTTTTTTTTTTTTGGAACTTAAGGTTTGTTTCTGGTAACAGGTGCTATTCGTCTTCGTATTCGAGGGCTCAGGCGACCGCCACGTCTCCATCTAAAATTAAAAAAAAAAAAAAAAAGTCATTCGTGATTTCTGAATAAGATAGCGGTTAGTTCTGATATTTTGGCATCTGGTTCGGGCTACTAGAGCAATGTTTGAGCGAAGAACGAGCGGTGGACGATACGTAGCGTATATTTGCGGAGAAAAAAAATGAATCCCGTAGTTTGAGATGTTAAGCCTGATTGAGGCAGTCGCGCGGGTCGCGCTTAGGGCGGCTGACACCACACCGGTGACAAATATAGACCTTTCACAAAAGTCCCTGTAAGCAGCGCGCCAAGTCCTCGTCTTCGCCCCTTCTTTCCCTCGTGTTAGTTGATTATAGGTGCTTATCTTCGGTAACGAGGTAACGACTTTCATCCAAGGAAGAGCGTTCCTTGGAAGGACCTCACTGCGCTAAAACGTAGATATATCCCTGCGTCGACAACCAGCTAGCAGATCAAACTTAATACACACCTTTTTTTTTTTGTCATTTTTATTAAGTTTTTTCTATGCTCACAAAGCCTGGCAGTTCGACGATGGAGCCATAGAGTGCCCGGTCGTAGATTTGGAGCGCGAGGATCTGGTAGTACAGAGCTTCAAAGAGCGATTTCTCGAGGAACTTGGACGTCAGCGCGCAGCTTTTGCGGCGGCGAGGACCGGAAATACACTTCTTCGCTCGGGAGAAGTGTGTTTCGGCGTCTCTTCGCAGCAGGGCACCACTCACGTGGGTGTCCTCTCATCCGTTGTTTGCCGCTCCACCTTTCCCGTTTCGGCGACTGCTTCTCGTGGCCATCTGCCAGGCTTTGTCACTATAAAGGAGGTTTTGTCTCTATGTTTGAAGGCACGCGCATAACAGAGACTTATACCCGCCGTACGACGTTAATCGCCGGCTGATTCCTCTAATCCCCGTTTTGCATGACGTAGGAATTCAGTGCGTTCCCGTCTAAACACGGGAAGGCTGCTTCTGCAAAACGACACGTTCACACCAACGAGA